TTGCCTTGCGGGAGTGGCGTGCCCCCAGCACGTCCGATCCGACAATAGCTGCTGCTACTGCTATTGCTACTGCTTCTTCTGGCGACCGACACCCGCCGCCAACGTCCTCGACTTGCGGGGCACCGCTCAAGCCGAACGGCACCAGCCGCAGTGGGACAACCCTCAGTGCCACCTCTGCGGTCGCTTCCGGCAACAACAACGTGGCCTCTACAGGAAATTCGTACGCCACCGCGGGGACTGCAACTGTAACAGCAGGAAGCACAGGTGGCGCGGGTGCTTCACAGAATGACTGTGCGGGGGCAGTGGGCCAAGGTTTGGGAAAAGACGGCCATACCCATCGCAGCGCCAGCGCCAGTGCTGCCACCGGAGATGGGTGGACGAGGCAGATTCTCACCGCCAGGAGGGGCCAGCGACCAGCGGTGTGGATGGACTTTGAGGAAGCGCGAAATATCTTGCTCCGCTGGGAAGGCTACAAGATCCTCACGCTTGACCGGGGAAACCCCACCCCCCCGACGACGTGATGCAGGCCCGTTTGAAACACCACGCTGTTGTGCTCGCCGAAGGGAGATCGAGTGACGGTTCATATCCCTCTTGGTAACGGGATCGCTTGCGAAGACGAGAATGGTTGCACGACACGATTGTGGCATAGATACCTCGTTCGTCGTCGGGATGGTCATAGAGCAACATGGAGTTCCATCGTTCGTCGTCAGGATTGTCATTGAAACGAGCGCGTGAACAGCGTGTGGTGTTTCCCGGCGCCTGCCTCTCCGCGCCCCAGCGGGTACGTCTCACGCGTGAGCGAGGTGTGTGGGTGGATGGTGTTGCTATCTTGGACGCCAAACGCTTAGAATGAAGGGACATAATACAGCTATTGGATAGTTTCCTGTGTAGCGTTCCTGTCCCAGGGACGTGGCCTGTAACAGTGTGTGTCCTTGTTGTTGCGAAACAGCGCACGCAATGAACTCATCGTCCTGATGTTCAGGCTCCTCATACAATATTTAGTGTTGAATCTATATAGCTTTCGACGCATAGGTTCGACAAACCGGGAAATTATCGCCGCAATCAAGTGTCACCTCGACCTTTGTGGAGAGAGGGGGGCTTGCCTCCGCAGCGAACCATGCCTCTCGCTGCTGTCGGCCGCGATAATTCATTGCCGAGTGCGGTACTGCGGCTCCTGCTGTGGCCACCCGTGCGTGCGCAGTGTCCTGTAGACTGTGCCTGGTGGTATTCGGCGAAAGGCAACGACACACACAGTCACGGTGATCGGACCATCTTACGACATCCTCGACACGACCGAAAGGACAGGAAGACGGTGTCGTGGAGGGACCTGATTGCTAGTTTGGACAAGGGAGCAATATTTTCCGTTGGATCAGACACATTAGGTTCCGCATGGCACCCCAGACATGTTCTATTATAGGGGAATATAGTGGCGCCAAGTCGAATGATACTCGATTTGACGAAATGACATGTCTCAATCTGAGCAGATCTCTCAATCTGAGCTCTGCACTTTGTGTTGCGTGGTGTGTCAAACGCAAGAGTACAACGGGTTGCAAGAGCTCTGCAAGACAAGACGATAAGCGTCGAGAGAAACAAACAACGGCAGACCCAACACCAGCACCAGCGACGTGCGCGCTAGCGAAGGCAACAAAGAGGTCAGTTTTCATGTTTGCTCGAGGACCACAAATGGTTGATGAGAGGATCACAACACGATACAGCCCAGAATTTTCTCTCCGGGGCCCCTTCACCAGCTCTCCCGCCGCACATTCCTCTTCGCGTTGCACACACGACAGCCGCACACACATCTTAGAGTCAACGAAGAAGATGGCTGGGCTCATGGGAGAGATGGAAAATCTGAAGGAAGGTGCGTTGCGTGGTACTGAAAAACAGCTGTCTATTGCTGTCTTTAGAGCGGATGATCCGCTACGGATCAGGCCGTCGGCAAAACTCATGGCTTGCAGCTCCTCAGTGATGGTGCATTGACCTTCCCCGTTCGAAAGCACTCTGTAGCGTAGGATACGAGTACGCAGCTTCAAGCGCATTTCTACGTCGATGTTGAAAGCCTCCTGCAGAGACAAGGCGGCTCTCGTTACTCTAGGGCTGCGTGTTGGGTGCAGCCCATGTAGCCCTTGGCAGGATATCTACGTATACTGCCGTACTTTCAGTAAAGCGGTAGGACTCGACAAACACGAACAACAGCTCTAAAAACAACCACGAAAAACCTGAAGAAACACGGAACGGTCCAAGAAAACATTGCAAAAAAGTTTCCGCTACTACCACCCACTGTAATTCGAAGTACATGCGTTCGCGCTTTGCTCGACATACGACGTGCTGACTTATTCGCTTTGCTCACCATAGGGCAGCGGTATAAGCGAAAAGAGCACCACCCGAGACAGCAAACTTTCAAGGACTCAGCTCCAGGAGCAGGGTAGAGCGTCAAAACCTGGGTGCGTTGCCTACGATTTTCTCAAGTCTTGCCGCTCATATTTCCAGCTGTGATCCCCTCCTTCGACCACCACCTGTCGAAAGGTAGACGAGTTTAACAATCATACAGCGGCAGCGGCGCTGAGGTCCAGCATCATCTGTATGACCCATCCGAAAGAAATAGCTTGGCGGAGGCCCTACCGCCCTACTGCTGCGCGGTGCCGTTGTAATGTGTTTCTCCCTTCGACCCGTGACAGACTAGACTGTAACACCGCATGTTTTTAAGAACTGAGATTTGGCGCACATCTCTCACACTTGTTGACCAGCACCCGAGCTCCTGACCCCGTTGGAACTTGCTTGTTTGCTTATCTTGAAGGGTAGGGACGAGGGGATATTGCACATTGGTCAGAGCCCTTTTCCACTTCAAGAGAACAGCAACAACAACAACAATTACAGTAGTGAAATTTATCACCAACAAACCTCACTATGACGTCTACAAAAGATGTAGAAGTATGTAGACTACGGGTGTTGGTTCGGTGTCCTGGTTGACAAGTACCTGCCACGAAGCAACACATCGTCAGGAGGGAGTATTATCTAGGCAGCCTAGCCGATGGGATCTCATGGAGCAACTGTAGTGTATGGGCGCTGTATGAGCCGTTGTGTGAGTGTGACCAGGATTCCAACCCCATTCTCACTCTTTACGTGTGGGAGGGCGGAACACGGGCCTATTAGGTGTGAACGGTACAATTCGAAACGCAGGAGTGTGCAGTACGATCTGCTGTGAAACCGAGTCCCGAACCCTTCAAGACAGAACGTTTCACTCCTTCATTCTTGTGCGTGTCCTCGCACAAGTCACCCCCCTTCTTGAGCTGCTCACTCTGCAGAGTTTCGTAACAATCCACTCTCATACCTTCGCCCCCTATCGAAACATTCTTTCCGGAGGAATGTACTCGCATCTTCAATCTGCGTATTCATTCTTTCACCCCCCCTTGCAATCGCTTGCCAGTGATCCGAACTACCTCCCGCCATGCGCTTCTCACCAACTTACTACACGTAGAGTATCGAACCCATGGTCTCGATCGAGTGAAATCGACCGAGAAAGACGTTTGCATCTTGGGGGGTGCACCTTTGGGGTGACATCTTACTCTTTTGGGAGAAAACGTGAGGTCTCTTTTCGGCGATCCTGCATCGAAAGCGTTGCAACCAACATGTTTGCCTCGTCTGTCTGTTCATGGAACTCATATATGGAGGGTTTTGTGTCCGAAGTCCAGGTGTGAAACCGGGTCCTCATTGTTCGATCGCATCAGAAATATGAAAACGCGGGGCGTCGTCGCCAAAAGTTGTTTCACTTCGGGCTTCGGCGTGGCTTCCTCGTCGAGGGAACCAATTTGCCTGATCCCAAACCTCGTATTTTCAGAACTTCAGCAACAAGACACGGTCGAAGGATTGGGTGTGAACGTTGTGCGAAACCAGTGTGACGATCCAAGGCCAAAATAGTACCGATCGGTGAACAGTGAGATCTTCATGGAAAAGGGGCTGACAAATTTCACTCCATTTGACATTGACCTTCACAGCAGATGCGGCGGTACTCAGAGAAAATATCTACACGAACTGTGACAGGCGAGGAAGAAAACTACTTGGAAGTTGTTGAATACTAAATAAAACATATTGCAAACTCTTCGTCCAAACGCACCCCGGGGCTGACGTTCCACCCTCCTGTGCTACGCGTAGCGTAAGACACGTATAACCAACGCCATCACAGATGTACCGTTTATGTCCATCAACAGGAGGTCTCCGCGTTGTCGTGATGCCGGCCTCACCGTCCGAGACATAGGTATGCATATTCACTGGACTCCTTGTGGCAAACGTGAACCGCCTACTCTCCCATTGCATGGCTCCTTCGAATATTTTTAACCTGTAGGGAGATTTTACACGTCCGGAAGAAACTGCTGCCCATTCCAACTGGCGTCTCTGACTTGCTGTGAACATTTCCAAGCAGCTGTACCTACACTGCGTATATTATCATGCGGAAATTGCTCGCCTACATTGGCGAGATCTTCATGACGAAATTGCAAAACAGGATGCAGGAACGTTGTGGCGGTTAAGCCCACGGAAGGATCCTGATGGAATTTTGTGAGACAAAATTCATATTCTTTAGAGGAGATCGCTTTGGAAGGGCGGGCTGGAACAAGCCTGAATATGCCGCGATGCCCCCACATCTCGCGGTGCCTCATGGACCGTATTTCGAATTAATTGCACGTAACAGGTGAATCAAAAGGTGACGTCGAGGGAGTAGACGGCGAAGAGGGAGAAACCGACGCGGCTGCCGATGCGGGGGAGGCCGGTGCGGGAGCAGCAAAGAAGAAGAAAAAAAAAAAGAAAGGGAGCGCGGGAGTCCCGACTTGTCCGGGGGGCACCGGGAGCAAGGTCGCGCCCGCGAGGGGTGTGGCTGGCTTCACTGACAGCTATGTCAGGTGCGCCGGAGGTGTACGAGCGGTTTGGCCGATTGTAGCACCCCCTAAGTTGCGCCGTACTTGCAGCAGTGATCTAGGCTACATCAAGCTACGCCCGACTCGATAATGTCGCTCTCTTGGTGAGTGGGGTCGACTGTAGCACCGACTGTTCTTTGATGTACGTCCTTTTTCCCTGTGGATGGAATGTGCAGTGCTGTTCACTCCGGGCTGCGAACAAGATATATCACCAGCACGTGGAAGGAATAAATAATGAAGCACTAAGAACTGCTTTCACTTCGTGGCAATGTTGCAGTTGGTGAATTTGCCGATGTCAGTTCAGCTAGCAGTATTCATCATTATCAAGAACCCTTCCCATGTATAGTTCTTGGAAAATGCATATGCCTTGCCCCTCTCTACCTAAATTTCCGGTCCCACTTTGCCTTAATAGGCACGGGCAGACGGAGCCACCGACCATCCCCGTTGAAGACCTCTTCGAGGAGGGATCTTTTCCGGAGGGGGAGATTTTGGAGCATCCCCGGGACTTCAACTCATTCCGGGTAAGATAGCCGCGCGCGGGGCGACTGATGAAAACGTGTAGAATGTTGTAGGGGGCTTCTGGCCAACGACGACTTTGTGATGTAGGAGCTTCCATGCCTGATTGTGTGAAACTCGTGGAGTGCTCCACATGAGAGGTATCTGGTCACGAACAACACCGTCGTCCGAACTCTATCGGTGTTTCGCGATGGCAGATAACGAGCGAGGAGAAGCGAGCTGAGGAGCGCCTTCAGTACGCGGGGCTGTATGACAAGGCGCGCAAGGCGGCCGAGGTGCACAGGCAGGTCAGGCGCTACGCACAGAGCTACATCAAGCCGGGGATCAAGCTCATCGACATGTGCACCATGCTCGAGGAGAAGGTACAATTGTTTGAGATTGGGCTGGGCAAGGGTTACCCTTGCGCGTGCCTGGGTGTGCCGCGCCAAATACTATCGTAGAAGACATCTAGTAGTCACGCCCTTATTGGATTATCCTATTGTGATCTAGCCGTGAGGTGCTGCACCTGTTGCCCAGCTCGTGGACGTGTGCAACGCCATGTCCGAATGCCGGGGACAAGCGCATGTACGAGCCGTGAGGGGAAAGAGTGGCGGTTGAAACGGTATGTCCCCGTGTTCCGTTTTTGTGCTTTGCCGCAGAACCGGGAGCTGGTCCGAGAGAACGGGCTCGATGCAGGCATCGCCTTCCCGACGGGCTGCTCGCTCAACCACGTCGCGGCGCACTACACACCAAACAACGGCGACGATACCGTACTCAAGGTGTGTGCGCAGAGCAGGTTCCCGGGCGGTCCGTTTGGGCCACCGCTTTGGCGAGAGTGCTGTGCGTTTGTTGCTGCAAACCCGGGGAGCAATAGGCATCTACGCGCGACGTGCAGTGGCGCCCGAAACGATATGTTCCCTCGATTGGTCACTCCACTGCTGTATTCACAACATTATTCACGATTTGGCGCTACGTCTACTCTTGCTCACGCGTGCGCGTTCGTGTGGTACGGTCAGCACGGGGACGTGATGAAGGTGGACTTCGGCACACACGTAGAGGGCCGCATCATTGACTGTGCTTGGACTGTAAGCTTCGACCCCCAGTTCGACCCCCTCCTTGAGGCCGCCCGGGAAGCCACAAACGCCGGCATCAGGAACGCTGGCATCGACGTGCCTCTCAACGAGGTAAGATATCCTTGATCCCGTTGCGAGCTCAAAATTGTTACCACACCTTCGGGGGGGGAAGAATCATTGGCGTTGAGCATGCGTCGAGGTTTTGGTCGACTTTCTGTGGCACCGTGGAGGTACGTGACTGGCCATTTTCTGGGCTTCTTGTTGTTGTTTTCGTAAGGTAGTGTTGTCCACTATCTGCGAGTCGTGGTCTTAAGCGTTTTGAGTCTTCGGTGAAGTGCCAAACCGTCATCGATATGCAGCAAGAACGTGTCGACATTTTACCGAGCTGACTACCGTGTCGGAGCGGCTGCCAGCCAAGCAATGCAGGATGAGTCAAGAGGGGCTTAAAGGGCGCCACGCGTTCGTGGCCAGAAAGTGTCATCTGCAACTGATAGTCGTAGGACTCTCTCCATATGACGTTCGTCAATATGTTTCTGTTTGCGGCTTACGCAAGGTCGGAGCGGCCATCCAGGAAGTAATGGAGAGCTACGAGGTAGAGATCAACGGCACCACCTACCCGGTCAAGAGCGTGCGCAACCTCAACGGCCACAACATCGGCGCGTACGACATCCACGCCGGGAAAATTGTTCCTATCGTTAAGGGCGGCGACTCCACCCGCATGGAGGAGGGGGAGTTCTTCGCCATTGAGACTTTCGGGAGCACTGGGCGCGGTCACGTTGTGGAGGTGTGTTTCGCTCGCGGGGTGCTGTCGTGTGCTGGCGATCTTCAAGCGTTGGCCAGATTCATAACAACGCGTTTGAAAATCGAGGAACGTGAGCACTTTGGGGCGAACTTGTTAATTGTTAGGGCTTGTAAGGACTACAGCTGAAGATAAAAGCTGTGGTGTAGACAGGTTGATTACAGCGAAGGCAACTCTCCACCACTTTTGGGCACAGGCAGGTTACGAAATCTCATGACGTAGGTTCTCGACTTGAGGACGTATGTTACTGCCCGCTGATCGACAATTTGGGTGGCTCAGTTCTGTGTGTTGGGAGTGCAGAGCAGCTGGGCCATGACGGGCCGTGGTAGGGGAGGGACGTATAGAAAAACGTGTTTTATTCTTCGGGGGCGTGCTCGCGCTCATAAATCTGTCACGGCATCAAGCACGCGTCACGCTCATCACGCTCAAACTACCAAACGGATCTCTCTTAACCTCCATCAATCTCTTCCCACTTCCAAGGAAACTACCCAGAAAGTTCTGATTCCTCCGCATCTCATCACTGCAATTTCCGTACGTACGCACTGAAAATCTTACCCGTCATACCATGCTACGAGTACCACCAATATATCTAGTAGCCCCCCTGCTCGTATGCATCGTCATGCTTCGGCAATAACCAAATTCCTCTTTACCATCTCTCCAAAACAAACAAGAAAATTCTCAATGCAACCAAATCCTATATCCGCCCTGAAATAAATATTCAAGAACCCTCAAAGTCAATCACAAGAAAAATTTCAACATATCCCAAACTTCTTCAAAACAAAATAGAATCCAACACTGGCAAAACTCCTCCAAAACAATCAAGAAAAATCAAACACTACCAAAACTCCTCCAAAACAACCAAGAAAAATCCGAACACAACTAAAACTCCTCCACAACCAAGACAAATCCAAACACAACTCCAACACCCTTACCACCTTCATCAGACTATGTCTTTCTCTTGTCGGATCTCGTCTCTCTCTTTCCTCTCCGCTACAGAATACGAATCGACCCCAAAACACTTCCTTCACTGCAAGTTCATCACAAAGTCAGCGCTGACTGAGGAGTCTAATGGGTGGTAAGCCTTTCTAGTAAAGGATACCCGCACGAGTTCATATACCGCCTGGATCACTTTACTTTGCAAAAAAGTGCACCTAGAACTATCAGCGTTTGGCGAGGGGTCCGTCCCCGGAGACCTCTACTCTCAGTCCCAGTGATTAAGCCATAAACCCAAGTGATCCAGGCGGGTGCAAATGACCTCTGAGCATATACTTTATTAGATAAAGTTACACCATTCGGCTGGACTACTCACCGCTGACTTGTTTAATGGTGTAACTTTATCTAATACCCACATGGGTATCATCTGGGCCGCGTGCGAGCCTCGAGGGACACGCCGTATTCCAGTGTGGCAAGTAAGAACATGTCAGCTGCGAAACCGCGCCCGTTGTAACTTGTTTACGCGCTCCGGAAGGCTACCTTGGGTGTGGAACACGGATAGCAGCCTCAAGCGGAGGAACGTGGCAAGACATTTCCTACACCGTATGCGTGTGTACGGAGCTTCGCGTGTTGAAACCCACTGCCTTGCGCGTTCCTGATCCACTTACGTTGGTATTTCCAAAATAATTTATGGCGGTGAATTGTTACGAGAACTACATGGATCTAAATGGCAGGGTATGTGCATTGTACGAGCCAAGATGGTGAACCTCGAACTAGAAGCTCTTAAACCATTCGTTCTTCTTCGGATTCTCTATGGTTCAGAGCTCGTGGCCCCACTATTCATTCGTCTGTTTGCCTTGAAAGGTAACATGTGTTTAAGGGAGGGGGCTCGAAGTAGAGATCAGGAAGATTTGCGATTCGAAGACAGGAACCACACAACGACGGCGACAGCTTCAAACTTGACACCCTGCGTCCTGCGTCGGCTGCCGCTCGCTCCCCCCGTGTTCGCGCTTTGATGGCTGTCCATTTGGAGCAGGACTTGGAGTGCTCCCACTACATGAACGACATCAACGCACCCCGGGTACCCCTGCGCCTGCCCAAGGCGAGGCAGCTCTTGTCGCACATCAACAAAACCTTCGGCACGCTCGCCTTCTGCCGGCGCTGGCTGGAGAGGCCCGACGGAGGGTCGGCGACGATCAACGGTGTTTCTGGAAAGCAGGTACGAACGGGTGGATTGTACCTCCCTGGGGCGGGGGGGTCGATGGTGATTGGTTGTTTTGATTTCGTTTTCGGATCGATGTGGGTATTTTTGCAGCCTACTGTAGGCGTTTAGTCTACATCGACTATTGCGTTGGTATGATGAGGGGGGTATTTCACTCGCAATGCATAAGTTCTGCGAGCAGAGTGAGAGGAGAGATTTTGACACATGAACGCTGACGGCGAGCAGACGGCGCCAAGCTGAACATGCGCTGGGACGCGCAGAACATAGTACTGCGATGTCGAGTGCGCACTGTGTTGATGTTCCTCAACGTTGAACGAATCTTGAACATGTCCCCACGTCCGTTTTCGGTTGGTCCTCCCCGACAGGAAAAGTACGTGGGGGCGCTCAAGCAACTCTGTGATTCGGGGCTTGTGAGCGCTTTACCGCCGTTGTGCGACGTTCGGGGCTCGTACGTCGCCCAGTACGAGCACACCATCCTCATGCGACCCACATGCGTGGAGGTGTTGTCTCGCGGCGACGACTTTTAGCGTGGTTGCGTATGGGTGAAACTGGTGTTGTCTTCGTCAGACTACATGGTGGGATGGCATGTAGTCAACGGACGGCGAAGGAAACACTGCGGTAGGTGTCCCGACATGTAGTCTGGTTGTGCGGTTATTTTGCTTGGAAGAGTGCGCTTTTATCAGCTGCGCAACCCAGCGTTGGGCTTCCAAGGAGCATGGGCTGGAAGCAGACATCTTGTTGCGTTACTTGCGCCGTGCTTGCGCATAGTCCCGCTTGAGACCCAACGCGCGGAACGGGGGTGCAACATCATGTTTTGGATTAGGGGAGTGGGACGGAATTCATCTCATTGCTGCATCCGATGTGACAGCGATTTGCACACATGTTCCGCTCTAAGGGCCGGCATCTAGAGTTCGTCCGCTTGATTTCAAGACATTGGCGTCATCGGTACTGGATTTTGTTTCGATCAGCGATCGGATCAAAACTGCAACATGCCAAAGACATCGAGGGGAGGGTGATGCACCGAGATGTGTGCTATTCTTGTGCGCATATTGTGCGTTCCCCCGTGTTTTCACTGCCGGGTTTCCTGTGTTATTGGCGCCTCTGAACCTGCCGGACGGCTCAATCGTATCCCAGAATCGCGTCGGAAAACAAAATAAGAACCTTCACGCAGTCAAAACCTGTGCACCATTGCGCAATGACACCGCGGGGGATACACACCTGTTTACATTTGGGTACAGGAACCCTTCACAGGAAACCACCCATCAGCCATCTTCTACCTCTTCATTCCAATCGTTTGGCGTCCCAAAATTGGAACGCACACGATCCACCCACAAACCTACCGCTCCAGCGTGAGACGTACCCGCTGAAGTGGGGGCAGCAAGACGCAGGGAAACACCACACGCTGTTCACGCGCTCGTTTCTGCGACAACCCTGACGACGAACCATGGCATTCCAACTTTTGTTCTATGACGACCACAGTTGACCAATAGGGATGTGGCGGGTGTCGTCGCGCTTAGCAGTCCTCAATGAATGCTCCCCCACCAAAATCCTGAACCGCATGCTCCCCGACATCACCAATGAAAATAGGGAAAGGACGAATGGTCTTCCGATTCGAGCCATTGCTCCTTGGAAGCCCAACGCTGGGTTGCGCAGCTGATAAAAGCGCACACTCAACGTCTTTCTAACAACATAGCACAATCGGACTACATGTCGGGACACTTACACCTTCGCCGTCCGTCCACTACATGGCATCCCACCATGTAGTGTGGACGAAGACAAGACCATTTTCGCCCGTACGCAACCACACTAGAAGTCGTCGCCGCGAGACAAAACCTCCACGCATGTGGGTCGCATGAGGATGGTGTGCTCGTACTGGGCGACGTACGAGCCCCGAACGTCGCACAACGGCGGGTAAGCGTTCACAAGCCCCGAGTCACAGAGTTGCTTGAGCGCCCCCACGTACTTTTCCTGTCGGGGAGGACCAGCCGAAAACGGACGCAGGGACGTATTTAGGGTTTGATAAACCTTCAGAAACCACAACAAATGATGGCAGGCAGTAGCCTCGTCACTACACCCACGTACATTAGTTTGCGAGTCCGAGCGCGAGCATGTCAAAACGGCGCCGTCTGCCCACCGTCCGCGTCCTTCTGTTGCTCTCGTCGCAGAACTTAAGCTTTGAGAGTGAAACTCCCCATGCCACCATACCAACGCAATTGACGCCCAGGTTGCAACAATACCCACATCGATCCGAAAACGCAACCGAAACAACAGCTAATGACCATCGCCCCCCCCCCCCCCCCCCCCCCCCCCCCCCCCCCNTTGATCGTCGCCGACCCTCCGTCGGGCCTCTCCAGCCAGCGCCGGCAGAAGGCGAGCGTGCCGAAGGTCTTGTTGATGTGCGACAAGAGCTGCCTCGCCTTGGGCAGGCGGAGAGGTACTCGGGGTGCGTTCATGTCCTTCATGTAGTGGGAGCACTCCAAATCCTGCTCCCCACGGACGGCCATCAGCATGTGGACACGGGGGCAGCGAGCGGCAGTCAACGCGGGACGCAGGGTGTCAAGTTTGAAGCTGTCGCCGTCGTTGTGTGGTTCCTGTCTTCGAATCGCAAATCTTCCTGGTCTCTACTTGGAGCCCCTTCCCTTGAACACATGTTCGCTTCGAAGCCAAACAGACGAAGGTTGTTGAAAACGAACTGTTCACCACGAAACACGGGACAAACATGTTTACACTCTTTTATCTCCTCGGCTCACACACCCAGCCATTTCCTGCGGCAAATTGCTGCCAAAATGCTCTCGGAGAACACCATCGCAAAATGCTCAGGAACGCGCTAGAAAGTGGCTTTCGACACGCGAAGCTCCCTACACACGCATACGGAGCAGGGCATGTCTTGCCCCTTTCCCCCGCTTGGCTGCGATCCATATTCCATACCCAGGGAAGCCCTCCGGGGTGAATTCATACTCAAGGTCGCTTGTACTACGAACTAGTACAATATGACCCTTGCCGAATAACAAGTCGGCCCCAACGCCCTAACTTTCCTCGATGTTCACCCGCGTTCGTAAGAATCTGGTCAAGCTCGACTATCGCAACCACACCGCTCGCGCAGGCAACACACCTCCACGACGTGACCGCGCCCGGTGCTCCCGAAAGTCTCGATGGCGAAGAATTCCCCCTCCTCCATGCGCGTGGCGTCGCCGCCCTTAACGATCGGAACGTTCTTCCCGGCGTGGATCTCGTACGGACCGATGCTGTGGCCGTTGAGGTTGCGCACGCTCTTGACCGGGTAGGTGGTGCCGTTGATCTCTACCTCGTAGCTCTCCATTACTTCCTGGATGGCCGCTCCGACCTTGCGTGAGACGCAACCAAGAGAAACAGTATGGCAAGAGTCATGTGGAGCAACTTCTACTCCAATACAGCAGTATCAGCAGGCCCCGGATGCCGCCCTTGGCCACGCAAGCGTGGTGACGTTGAAGCCGGTCTTGAACTATTCTGCGCTGCTTGGATGGCTGCTGTGGCGGCACGATTGTCAGCTCCGCAACATGTCGATACGTTCCTTGTAGAAGAACGATGAGGGAATGGCAAATCACCAAAGACTCAAACCACCCACAAGACCACGACTCGTAGACAACGGACAACATAAACATTGCCTTCAGAGAACAAAAACACGAGTTCCAGGCGGTGGCAAGCAGTGTACCTCCATGGTGCCGCAGAGAGTCGACCAACGCCTCGACGCATGCTCAACGCCAATGCTACCCCCCCCCGTCCACGTCCCCCCCCTCCCGGTGTTTGCCATCGGGGTTGGGTTTTCGTCGCTTGGCAACGACGTTGTAAAACAAGCCGCCCCCCCCGGTGTTTCCCATCGGGATTGGGTTTTCGTCGCTTGGCAAAGACGTTGTAAAACAAGCCAATTCACTTCGTGAACTCGGCAACCAGGTTACCGTTTTTTTTTTTTTCCTCCGTTTATTTTTTTTGGGCGGTAACCATAATGATGGTTGAGTAGATCATGTTGTGCGGGGTGAACCCTCACTCCGCGCAAGGGGGATGATCGCACCACGTTGTGTTGAAATGGTCAAGCACCCTCGAGGCAGTTACACAGTGCTTACAACTGTCTCTGGAAGTGAAAGCACCAGAAAATAAATTAATTCATACGCAGCTGTCATCCGTACGCAAGGAAGTAAGCACAAGATGCCGAACACCCTTAGCAGGATGCAGCGCACCCTTCATGCGACTCGCCGAATATCTCACGGCGCTTCGCGCTTGGTGATGTGAGAGCCTGGTCCGGTGAGAACCCGGCGTGCTCCGTCCCGGCTTTGTAGGGATGCGAGGTCAATGGTCTACCGACTTCGGCATGCACGACTATGAGCACACCCCCCCCCGCACGTCGTGGCACTAACTTCCACCTTGGAGAGCGATACAAGGATATCTTACCTCGTTGAGAGGCACGTCGATGCCAGCGTTCCTGATGCCGGCGTTTGTGGCTTCCCGGGCGGCCTCAAGGAGGGGGTCGAACTGGGGGTCGAAGCTTACAGTCCAAGCACAGTCAATGATGCGGCCCTCTACGTGTGTGCCGAAGTCCACCTTCATCACGTCCCCGTGCTGACCGTACCACACGAACGCGCACGCGTGAGCAAGAGTAGACGTAGCGCCAAATCGTGAATGATGTTGTTGTGAATACAGCAGTGGAGTGACCAATCGAGGGAACATAACGTTTCGGGCGCCACTGCACGTCGCGCGTAGATGCCTATTGCTCCCCGGGTTCGCAGCAACAAACGCACAGCACTCTCGCCAAAGCGGTGGCCCAAACGGACCGCCCGGGAACCTGCTCTGCGCACACACCTTGAGTACGGTATCGTCGCCGTTGTTTGGTGTGTAGTGCGCCGCGACGTGGTTGAGCGAGCAGCCCGTCGGGAAGGCGATGCCTGCATCGAGCCCGTTCTCTCGGACCAGCTCCCGGTTCTGCGGCAAAGCACAAAAACGGAACACGGGGACATACCGTTTCAACCGCCACTCTTTCCCCTCACGGCTCGTACATGCGCTTGTCCCCGGCATTCGGACATGGCGTTGCACACGTCCACGAGCTGGGCAACAGGTGCAGCACCTCACGGCTAGATCACAATAGGATAATCCAATAAGGGCGTGACTACTAGATGTCTTCTACGATAGTATTTGGCGCGGCACACCCAGGCACGCGCAAGGGTAACCCTTGCCCAGCCCAATCTCAAACAATTGTACCTTCTCCTCGAGCATGGTGCACATGTCGATGAGCTTGATCCCCGGCTTGATGTAGCTCTGTGCGTAGCGCCTGACCTGCCTGTGCACCTCGGCCGCCTTGCGCGCCTTGTCATACAGCCCCGCGTACTGAAGGCGCTCCTCAGCTCGCTTCTCCTCGCTCGTTATCTGCCATCGCGAAACACCGATAGAGTTCGGACGACGGTGTTGTTCGTGACCAGATACCTCTCATGTGGAGCACTCCACGAGTTTCACACAATCAGGCATGGGAGCTCCTACATCACAAAGTCGTCGTTGGCCAGGAGCCTCATACAACATTCTACACGTTTTCATCAGTCGCCCCGCGCGCGGCTATCTTACCCGGAATGAGTTGAAGTCCCGGGGATGCTCCAAAATCTCCCCCTCCGGGAAAGATCCCTCCTCGAAAAGGTCTTCAACGGGGATGGTCGGAGGCTCTGTTTGCCCGTGCCTATGAAGTCGAAGTGGGACCGAATATGGAGGTAGAGGAAGCAAGACTGATGTTACATTTTCAAGAGCTGTATACGGAAGGGGTACTTGATCATGAATGCTGCCAACTTCATTAGCGCCTGTGCCAACTGCAACATTGCCTCGAAGTGAAAGCAGCCCTCCGTACTGGTTCCGCAGAATTAGTATGTGGTAAGTGTGGGTGACATGTTGTTAATGAAGCCCAGAGTGAACAGCCATGCACATTGCACACAGATGGAAATAGGACGTACGCATACAAATGAGTGGTTGCAACAGTCGACCCGCTCACTTAAGAGAGCAACTTTATCGAGTCGGGTGGTAAACTTGATGTGGCCTAGACGCTGCAAATACGGCGCACCATATGGGGCGCTACAATCGTCCAAACCGCGCGTGCATCTGCGGCACACCTGACATAGCTGTCCGTGAACCCAGTCACACCCCTCGCGGGCGCGACCTTGCTCCCGGTGCCCCCCGGACAAGTCGGCACTCCCGCGCTCCCTTTCTTTTTTTTCTTCTTCTTCTTCTTTGCTGCTCCCGCACAGGCCTCCCCCGCATCGACAGCCGCGTCGGTTTCTCCCTCTTCGCCATCTACTCCCTCGACGTCACCATTGGCTTCACCTGTTACGTGCGGTTAATTCGACATACGGTGCAAACGACGCCGTGAAACGTGTGGAAATCACGGCATCTCTGAGGCTTCTTCTAGTGGTCTCGACACAACTTCACCTGTAGTTGGTCCATGTTCCTCCACCACGACTGCCTTTATGTTCTGTTCAGAAACTCCCTCGTGAAAATGGACGCAGTACAGGTTCAAACTAGGGATGGACACCAGGCAGGAAAAACAATGACCGATGTCCAGCAAGGAGGCGTTATTTACAACACATCATACTTGGCATGAATCGTCTTTTTTTTAGAACCGGTCAACGGGTTTCAACAGCATCAAATGAGGAAACACCTCCGTACTTCCAAACTTGGTTCATATTTCGTGGATTGTGGCATACACACTCGTCTGCCCCTCTGGCCCCTCTCCTCCACATCTACTAGCTAGACGACCCAACCGGGGCCACATAGGAGGGGGGGGGTTGGACACCCTCCTGCGGTTCATGCCTGAGGTATTTTTATCGCGAGAAGGGTATAGCAATCCCTTCCCTCGCGACTTACGAAGTCGATTATGGTTTACTAACAAACGAGCTTTGCAGCGCGTCGCTTTCATCCTAGACCAGGATTTATTTAGTGAGAAAAAAACTCGCTCTGCCGGGACTCGAACCCATGACCTGGCCCTTAGTAGGCTGCGAGGCTACCCACTAGACCACCGGGGCGACCAGTGTGTGTCAGCAGCAGGAAACTTTTTTTGCGATGACATCACGACAAGGATGAGCGGAAAAAAATGGACGCGTTTCTTACATCGTTCCGTGTTTTCTTCAGGTTTTCCTGTTTGTTTGTTTATCTTGGGGATCGACGGGCACACTCCAATGCTACCGTGTGTACCTAAGAATCCTGCAGACTCCCCCCAGAAGTCACATGCAAGCAAACTATTGATGTTGTTGCCTCGGGCCCCACCCTGTGAAGACATGGCGGGTAGACTCCTTGACCGAAATTGTTGCGAGAGACTCAAGGCACGCCGTTCTGTCACGAATTCGCGTATCCTCGACACGCAAGACCCACAAGCAAAAAATGACAATTAATCGTAACAACATCAACATTTCATGTGGTATACCAAAGTCTACAATAGGCGGTGAGCTGCTGCTGGCTCCACACTACTGCTGTACGTGTACCCGTACCGATCGGCGCTGCTGCAGGTGCTTCGCCTGCTGCGGAAGCTGTCTTTTTCTTCTTTTTCTTCTTCTTCTTCTTCTTGCTGCTGCTGGCTCCTTCCTCATCGGCTACTGCGCCCGCCTCCTCCTCGGCGTCCTCTTCACCGTTCTCTACTTCTTGGGCAGGTGGCGCATCGACCTGCGCCGTTGTTTTTGTTCAGTTTTCCCGCTCGTAGGCAAGTACGGCAGTGTAGGCTGCACAAAGGGCTGTGCATAGGCGGCACCCGAAAAGCAGGCCAAAGCCTAACGAAAACAGTCTTGTTTCTGAAAGAGGCTACTAAGACCAGCATCGTTGAAGCTGCGTATCTCGCAACTTACGCTACCTTCTGGAGGGAAGGTGGGTTAACACACATGGAGGTAGCTGCAAGCCATTACCTACAAGCCTGTGTTTTTTCAGACGGCGGCCCAAATGATTGTCAGTAGCGGATCATCCGCTCTATAGAACTGCTCTTTTCCAGTAGCGCGCGACCCACCTTAAGGTCATCCATCTCTCCCACGAGCCCAGCCATATTCTCCCTTGAATGGAAGCTGTTCGTGCAGCTGTCTCGCGTGCAACTCGAAAGAGGTCTGCTGCGGTGGACCGTGTCTTGTCAGTGCGGTGAAGGGGCCCCGAAATGTCTCGGTCTTTCGTGTAAGGCATATACCACGTTTTTTCCCGCGTGCCCCCCAGTTTGCCCGCGCTGCAAAGAATGAGTTCACTTCGACTTTGCGCGTCGCGAAGGCTGCCGCAGGGACGGGACACAGAGAAAGAATGTATAGCCTCGATGGGGTAGCGTTGTCGGGATCACTTCTGGCATCGTTGCTGAACGAAGCAGCTTCACCATATGCCGGTTCCGAACCAAGAAAGGTGGGTTTTGAAATCCTACAGCAGACACCAGCGGCAGGCAGTCAAGCGGTTCTGTACTGCAGTAACCTCAACTACATGCGCTGGGATAGCACCATCAACAAGCTCTCGCTGCCACCGCACGTTTGGCGAGGGGTAAATGTCTGGCCCACTCACTGGCAGAAATCTATTGAGCACGATGCAGTAGAGAATAAAATATCCGCGCTTGTTATTCCGCATCCTTCCCTTGTGTTCTTCGATCGCTAAGGGCCTCTGTTGACGTTTTTTTTGTCATCAGAAATGAGTACCTGGTACACTAAAACGAATGTCCCAATTTGGGTTGTTGGCCAAAAGGGCTTGGGCCGTTTCAACGCATTTTTGCAACACCAAAGTTTAGCAACACCCAAATGCGGCGGAATCGCTGCCGCGAGGTGACGTGGTGACCCAACCAGGTAGAGCGATAACCCATGTGCACCACACGGGAGCTGTGAAAATATACTTCTACTATCAGTGCAATACAAAACGACGCTAAGCATCAGCAGGCGGTGTCAGCGGTCCAAGCTGCATCCTCAGGCTTGCTCTAACAACTGTTGTTTGGACTGTCTCGCTGCACACAACCGGCCGTTGACTTTTGAAATCGCACATATTGGAAAGCAACCACCACAGCAACCCAACCAGCGCGTCAAGTTGGCACGCTCACAGACTCATTGCAACGCAGCTTTTCCCAGCAGCGGGCAGTGAGCGATGCGTGTGGGTGCCGCACTGTCAGTGTGCCAAATGCAGTCCCGTCAGGGGTTACACCAGCCCGAGTTCAGCTCATCACGGGGGGTGCAAAAGGGGCGCAGTGCAACTCGGATACTTCGATCCAGCAAAAGTAAATCATTTTGCAATTGTTTTTTGCTGCACCCAATATCAAAGCCTCGCGTTTCCGGGCATGGAAAGCCTCATCGTGCGTTTTCCTGTTGCCCAATCAACGTGTTTGGCCCCAGCACCCCCCCGACACTTGATTTTTGCAAGGCCTCAATATAGGCGCAAAATTTTAACGTTAGAACAGGCCTTGACCCCGGGAGGCCGTAGTGAAGGAGCTGTACGCACAAACTGATATTGGCCAGGCCCGAGGCAATCTTCGAACGAAGCAGTTGTAAATCTAGCGAAATTGAGAGACTCGCCTTCACCTACACTGCTCCCTATGTTGCTCTCTGTGTTGCTCACATTTGCTCGCGGATGTGCTTCAGGTATACACTGCAGCCTCTGACTTTACACCTACCCTGCTGCTGTTGCGCTTTGTGTGCACCGACGTTTGTAGTTAACGCCGTAGGAACGGGATTCGACTAAGTCTTCAAAAGCGCACGCATTCCCTGTCTTGTTGGAGGTTGTTGCAACTGTCCTGTCCGCTGCTTGAAACGCTGGTGTGGACGACCGAGGTCCATGACAGCAAGACTCGTCGACGCTCTCTCACTTCGCTCCAAGCATTCCCTGGTCGATGACCCGACCGAGTTGATACCCTCAATTACAGCCTTGAAGGGAATCAAGTAGCTCTGGGTATTCTGGGGGTCAGAGGTGTTGCTTTGGAAGCACGAAGAAATGTTCCGATCCAATATTATTATTGACAGGAATCTTAGGTGCCCCCCCCCCTGCCGAACCATTGTACTCCGGCGGTGGCATATAGCGCCTGTGCGTAGTGCTTCACACGTACCGGTGGCGTTTGAAATCCTATTTTGCCCGCAGGAGCCAGCCCCGCAGCATTTCAAAAATGCGGTCTTGTGGGTGAGGCAGTGTAACTTTGAGCACCACCAAGGGGGAGAGGGGAAGAGAGAACGGTGCATATCAGGGGGCTTAGGCATTTGCTGGGAGCTTCGCGCAGGTAAAACTTCGTCGTCGCAAACCCTCTGAAGTCAATTCGCGAGCCTTTGATTCCTATGTCGGAAAGTCTCCTCAACTTTTGATCCCGCGTTTCGCACTGCTTCCGTACCGTTATTGTGTGGGACAAATAGGGCACACGCTACACAGATGGCCTCCTGTTCGGAAGCGTAAACCGTCGGCAGGGTACTGAAACCGAAGACGACCACGAGCGGCGCGCGACAACTCATCGGGAGGCCGGTGAGTCCCAGACTTTTTTGCGTGCAGCGGTAGTTGATCCTTCTGAGAACGCGGTGACCAGCGTTGTGAAGACAGCACAAGCGTGAAGACAGCACAGGCGTTGTGAAGACAGCACAGGCGTGGTGAAGGCAGCACATTGTAACATGGACTTGTGGTGGTGATTATGGAGCCTCTATCGTACGTGTTATAAATATCGGTCCCTTATGAAGCCACTGTTTTGCATGCTTTTACTTTGGAAGAACGTCAAGCACTTGTCGAGATTCTGTTCCATCGCCACACGGGGAGGCAGCAGATTATTGCACGGGCCCTGCCGGCCCGAGATTGCCCACCGTCTCCATCGGGTGTTTGCAGCGATGCTATGATTGTGTTACTGTTCCCGTTGTTTTTTTTTCCATCCTTGGTTCTCATTGTCCTGCTGCTGTTGCTGGCTTTCCGCTCGCGATGCGTGCCTCCTTTCAACCCCTTTGTCGCTGTTGTGCCTACTGTTGCGGCCGGGCGTTTCCCTCCCGAAACACTTGTTTCCCCTTGTGGGAAGAACAGCGCTGTCAGGTTACGTACGTTCACCCGCACGGTGTGGCTTTTACGACGAGTTCGGGGCGATCGACGAGGGGCGACTGGCTGGGCTCATTCCTCAAGGGCAGGTATGCACACATGCGTGGACTATTTGGCCATTTCCATCCGACGCGGTGAAGCGTACGATTTAGCACCAAATTGGACCCGATTAAAGTGTGGATGAAACAACAAAGTGGTAATTTTCACGCGTCCGATTTTGGTTGTCCCTCCACAACTTTTCATGTAGTGCACCGGTTGAAAGAAGAAAACACCGCAGAGACGCCCGCGACAGCGCCCACAAAACTAGCGTGGCGAAAAACGTAAAGGGGAAAAAAAGTACATCGGCTGGGATTGGATCCCTTGACCTGCGAGACGAGGCAGCGAAGGATGCCCTCTAAGCCAAAAGACATGCGGTTTTGGTGTTAGATCGCACCGAGAAAACACAAACTATGTAGATCTATTAAAGCACCCGAACTGACAGCACCCCCACCCTCATGGAAAGGGGCAAAATACGGCCTTTTTTGGCCTGACTACTTTTTTGTAAGCCGCTAGTGCATGCAGGGTAGTGCGCAAGAAAAAAAAAGAAGTATGGGTTTCAACCCCAAAACGCTCAAGATTTCAAAAAAAGTATCGCCTAAGACATCGGACACGGCTAAATGGCCGTGTAATCATAACGGACTTTACTTATGTGACAGAGGAAGTAGATCTATTAAAGCACCCGAACTGATCCGGGTGGGCACGCTGCCCACGCCATTTTTTTCCTTTTCCGGATTGATGCATTTGTGGTCAAGATAGAGCTTTTCCCGTTTTCAAGTCAAATTGACTTTGAAGTGCCCCGGAATATCGCAACTTGGTTTTTTTCTCCGTGGAGCCAGGCAAGACAGGGTTCAGAACGAGATAAAATCGAATCAGTTTTTGCGAGGATCCCGAAAATTGACTTTTTTTTTTTTCACAGAGGTGGTGGGGGCTTCGGCAAGTCGTAATTTCCTAGTTCCGCCGCATTTTCACGAAAACGGTACATTGGAACCTAACTCGTCACCGAGGTGTCTGTGAACCCTAGAAGTAGGTTCATTCGCAAGCCGTGATCCGTAGCTTTCGAGTGGTATGCATTTTGTTGGGTGAATACCCACTTCAGTTAGAAAAAAACCAAGTGGTCTGTGGGCGGACGCTTGAAAATTGCCACTTCACGTCAGCAACGACCGAAATAAGTTGTATTGGATGGTGCGCTCATCGTGCACACGCCCACCAGCATGCAAGCAGAAGTTAGCACCGCCACCCGAAGTCCCTAGCGTTTGACGTTGTTCATATGTTGACACAGGATGATAATGCAGGATGATGTATGCTCATGCCGGCCTTCTTGTTCGTTGGGTAGCGTCCAGGTACAAGGGACATACCGGTGTGCAACTTCCGAACAAGGTGATGTTCGTGATTTATGCTGATGAAAAGCTTAACGCCCGCGGCAAGAGCACTTTAAACTTTTGCTTGTGGCAATGCTCATGGCACGCATGCTGTTGTTCGATGCACACGCGTTGTGTACTATAGTTTTGTTTTCATCTTTCACCTGTCGCTGCCCCTATGCTATTTGTACGTCTCGTTACCTTCGCTCTGGGCCGGTCGTGCTACTCCCAGCGATTGGCGGGCTACTTTGTCGTACGCAAGGGGGGTTCTACCCGCCCGTCACTCCGAGAAATCGAGGTGCGACCATCTCCATGATATGGTGGTTATACAGTCAAGACCCTAGATGATGTGGCGACGACAGCGTTAAGCCAACGAGGCGAGGTGGGGTGGGAGGGGGTGGGGCTGAGGATGGAAGTGTGTGTTCATCAGCATGTGTGGTGGCACAGAAGCACGTGTCTCGATAAATCTGAACGGGTGCACCTCGGGGTTTCCCGGAAACTGTTGCGGGGATCCCGCGCCGCCGCTCCCGCGGTATCGTATCCGTTCGCTGCTCTGTCTGTGTGGAACGTGGGCAATTCAGGCCTTGTGAAACCGGCAAGATTAGCTGGGGCATTGGGGAAGGGTCAACGGGAGCGCTCGTGTTTTTGATGTTGAGAGACAATGAGGCGAGGTTTTGGTTTGCCCTCGTTGTCTGCTTGAAAGCACGCGGTAGATACTGGCGTCACTGCATCTCACTGCACCATTCTCTGTCTCCTTCATCCCTTTTGGCCCAAAGGTGTTCCGCGGCATGGTAGCGTCATCGTCCGCTTCGGGACAGCTCCCTGTGCTGTTTGTGGCGTGTCTTAGATTGAGGGACGGTGCGCCCACCCAGAGCTTTCAGTACCAGTGCCTCACGGCGCAGGGTGGGATTGGAGGGCCACAGGGTGCCGGCCGGTAAGCCAGCGAGTTATGATAAGTTTCCCCCGGAGTTCTGAACATGCCTCAGGGTTAGACCCTGTTTGGTATTCTGATCTTCTCCCAGAATCAACTTCTGAACACATGCAAGTGCTACATGGTAGGAGCCAATTCCTTATCCTTTCCCTCTGCTATCAGATCTCCCAGCCTGGGAGCGTACTCTGGCCGGATCAACCTCGCCTTGGACTTGTGCTCGCGAAACACCTCATATTATGGCAGTCTCCCATCATGTTTCTGCCCTCTCCCCTCGTGCATTGCCCTTACGCAGTCTGGAGGTATTGCCATGTCGAATCAACAACCTCACCATGGACTCTTCCGCGGAGTACGGGCATGTGCGACCATCCCCCGTGGTGCCGCTAGGGGTGGAGGGTGCGCAGCAGTCCGCGTTGGAGGAGGCATTTGGTCCGATACCGCCTCCGTACGTCAGCGAGGCCGAGGCGTTACTGGACACGGGGATAAAGACCATGGAGGTGCGTTTTGGACTGAAGGTTCAAAAGTACGGTATATCCTTGGTGTTAGACGGTCCAATGTGTGGTGTCGTCAACGCGTTGTGTGTCTATATTTGTTGCCCGTCGCTCCGCCCCCTACACATTTATCGGGGCTGAGCGAAACTGAACGCAGGGGTATTAGGCCATTACAACTATTTACATTTGCGGTTGTTGGCCATGTCGTCAAGGAATGGGTCGCATCCAGTTGTGGAAATTTCTGTTAGTCTTGCAAAGGAATGGGGCGCCTCCAAGTGTGGAAACCGGGCCAAACAAACCTGCCCAGGATATCCTGAGTTATGTGGTATCAACCTTTATCTACATATCTGGATAATGCAAGGAGGGTACGACCCGGTGCATCGAATCATTCCGGCCTTTCTGACGTTTGCCGTTCTTTTTTCTCGACCGCGCTTCTCTCATCTCCTTCCTTTGCTTCGGTTTGATTAATCCGCACGGCAGGATCTAGTGTCTGAGCTTAAACACGTCGAGAACACAGTGGTGCGACTTCAATTGGAGAACCGGTGTATGGAGCGTGTTTTGATGAACCGTGGCGGGTCGTGAAGGACATCTGTGACTCAAAACTTTTCGACCTTCTCTATGAACGTGATGGAGATTTGATCTACATGAGCGGCGCTCACGGTTCTGACTTTGTGTTGGTTTTATCACTAACGAGCCGTTTGAATGGCCGTATGCTTTTAGAGTGGTGGCCTAGCTTCACAGAGGTCGCGGCGGAGAATGGAGCTTGCTTGAAGCAGTGTTTTTGGTCCCGTCCAGGACTACTTCGGGATCGTCCGACGCAGCTGGCTCCGGCGGCCAGACTTTTGTTCTGTGAATTATCGATCGCACGTTTCAGTCGCATGTTTTTCAAACCTGTGCACCGTAGCATCCCTGCTTGGCGCCGGTGAGATCAGCCAAGATGTTTTTAGAAATCATCTCTGGATCTATTGGTATTCTCGAGCCTTCGAGCGGTCGGGATCCCAGGTCAATACCCAGGTGATGTACGATGAAATGGTCTAATCGCGAGAAGATAATCTGAACAGCCGTGAACGAAGAGGATTGGCGCAAACGTACCCATTAGGTAGTAGTTGTTGTTGTTGTTGTTGTTGTTGTTGTTGTTGTTGTTGTTGTCTTCACATTAAAAACCGTTCCGATCTCTCTACCCAGTACCGTCGTATGTGCGTACTGATCCAACACTCGACGCGGTCGATTCCCGTGGTCGCAGGCTAACTTACCCTAGAAAGGTACACTCAAATAGACTGTCCCCAAGGGGTCCGCAAGTCAATAGAAATCAACGTCAGATATTCTGGAGTCCTCCACTCCCTCTGCGCCCTATGCGAGGTAACAACTGAGACTAGGAGTCACCATCACAGGCCGGATAGAAAAAGGTACGCCCCCTTGGTTCAATCTTGGTACTGCACAACGCAAGCAGAGACAAGGCCATCTGGCACAGAAAAAGAGAGAAAAAGAGAAGAAAATAAAGGAAACAGTAAGGAAAGAGAAAATGAAACGAAAATGAGCGAGGACAAAAAGGGACCAGGCCGAAAATGACAAGAAAAAAGAGACAGAAAAAGGCACACGGTGGAGAGACCACTAACGAACAAGCAACCACGCAAACATGGCCACCAACCAGCGATACATTGTAATGGTACGTCATCACTAGAGGTAGGCAATATTCTCAATGCATCGCATGGACCAGCTGGACAGGTGTTCGGGTGTCGATGCTTTTGTAACGCATATGTCGGGGAACTCATCAAGGTATTTGTACGGATGGAGAATGAGGTAGCTTCAAGAGGGACCATGAGACTTAAGCCTGGACCCCCTCCGATGTTCTGTTTCTGAACCATTGGCCGCCCTCGTACTTGCTGGTGCAGATGGTTACTGACAGTGTTGATCATCTCTATACAAGAACGGCCTCATCAAACACATGAAGGGATTTTACCCACCTAAGCGCAATATTGCCGGTGCCCCAAGCTTGAGACAATGAGGATGACGGAGGGAATGCAAATATCAACCTTGGACATTTAAGAGGTCAGTTGTTGTTTCACATGCGCTGAGCATACACGCGCCATCTAGGCCAAAACAGTTGTCCAACTCACTGCGTTGTGCGAAAAACGCACTGGAAGACGGAATCCCCCCTAAACCTTGCGAGAGGCAACAGCAATGGTCGCGCACGAAGGTATTCCCCTGTCCCCACCCTATATTTCGACGTTCGCTTTACACTTTCGGGTGTTCTTGGATGCACCAGCCGGGGCCACGCATAGTTTTGCTCAATTTTCCTTCCTTTTGCGGTGCTTTCCACACTTTGTCAGCGAGAGGGAGTCAACGGTCAGCCCCCCTGGTCATCTTAAACACTAGTCTTCTGTAGAAAGATGGGGCTATTCGATATATGATCGATAATTCGGGTGGCTCAGTTGTGTGCGATGGGAGTGTAGAGCAGCTCGGCCATAACGGGCCGTAGGGGTAGGTAAAGTCGTACAGACGTGTGGAAAAACGTGTTGTATCCGTGTTGCCATGTTGTCGTGTTGTATTAATCGGGGGCGTGCTCGTGCTCGTCAAACCATCACGGTATCGAGTCACGCCTTCATGCTTTCTCACACAACGAATCTCTCTGAATCCTCACCAAAAGCCTCTCACAACCAAGGAAAATATGTAGAAAGTTCCTGTTCCTCCGCATCTCATCACTGCAATATTCGTACGTACGTACATAACATCTCAACCATCATACTATGCTACGAGTATATCGAATAGCCCCCCTGCTCGTATGCATCGTCATGCTCCGGCAAAATATCAAAGTCATCCTTTTCATA